CTTTACTGGAATTTTGGTCATGCAAGTCCCTATACTTTCAGTGATTGGTGACTCAAGGTCCCTCCATCAATGTATACCTTTTACATTACTATCAAAGAAAATTTTCAATTATCATTGTAAATACCAAATCAAATATTCAGTATCCACATTCAAAATATTGTAATAAATAATTATATTGAACAAATTTTTTTAACAGATAATTGATTTCATTCCATTATTACTCTTTCATACCAATTTTTGTAACTGAGAAACAATGAACGTATTTTGCCCTTTATATCCTATATAGCCGCGGACATGCCTAAGAGGGCTTCGCGGTCACACACTTCATTCATTCGCCAGCTTCATCAACGAGGTAAAGTATCAGAAACTGTTAAGCCACTGACAGAACAATCATTAGCTTTTGCCTCGTGGTGGTCTGTAAATCTCCCAGCAAAAATGGCCGGCCGTTGAGGATGGGGAAGATCAATTGAGTTGTCACTTTTCAGCATTAAAACAACGGACGACATGGCTGGCCTTTCACTAGCATCTTCTTGGACGCATAATAAACCGATATGCACGCATCGGGAAAATTCATCAGAGCAGCATGAATCAGCCAACACTGGATCTATCATCTCGAGTTCCTTTCCATTGTTACATAATTCCCATGCCTGATTCAGGATTCGGAAGTTTACTTAACTAAACATTTATATCACAGTGTCAAGCAAGTGATTATGTGTATTCTATATATGCCGAAGAAACTTACATAAGCTAGGAGGCTAGGAGCACGTTTCGATTTGTGGAATCCAGAATTCTTTCTTCCGGTTATGATCTCCAACAGAATAACTCCAAAACTAAAAACATCAGATTTGGTGGAGTAAAGTCCCTCCATTGCATACTCTGGTGCCATGTATCCACTATTCAACAGAAGGGACAGGAAATTTTTAGTAATCCTGGAAAAAGTAAATATCCAACAAGCCCTATGTGCTGTGCATCCAGCAGCTAGTGGAGACAGAGGTGGCCCAAAAAACTCCAGACTTGGAAAAGTTAGAAACATGAAACAAGGAAGATGATGGATCATGCCATCGTGCTTTGTTATATTATTATTGTCTAGGAAATCGGGTAGCTAATGAAGTGATTATACTTGATATACAAAGATAATTCAGGTGAAAATTCACTTACTATGTTCCCGCTATCCTAACAGTATTGCCTTCGCCTTCATTAGCTTCCATGATCCTTGCCATTCCGAAGTCAGAAATCTTCGGATTCATGTTATTGTCCAACAAGATATTGCTAGCTTTCAGGTCCCGATGGATGATTCTAAGTCTAGAATCCTCATGGAGATAAAGAGTTCCCTTTGCAATCCCATTTATAATATGAATACGACTTCTCCAACTAAGTTGAGCACGTTTCTTCCGCTCTACGTACAGTTAAAATCACAATTGATACGAAATCAAATTATTGCTTGAATTCAGTATTTCAAAAATAAAACTTCAGCGTATTGTATCTGAGATCAATGAATTATGGAAATTTCTGATTTGAAAACATTAAGAAACTTATTAAAGAGGACTACTTACCAAAGAGGACCATGTCTAGGCTGTTATTAGGCATGAATTCATAGACCAGAAGCTTTTCCTCTCCATCAACACAAAAACCGAGAAGCTTAACAAGATTTTTGTGCTGAAGTTTCATGATTAGCAGAACTTCATTTGTAAACTCGTTTTTGCCTTGCTCGGACGAAGCTGAAAGTCTCTTTACTGCTAATTCTTTTCCATCACTCAGTATACCCTTAAAAAATACACAACAAAGGAATTAGTAAAACCTCTTTTTATCTCTTCTCTAGAGAACTCCGTAAGGTAATTTGAGCTTGAACATAAGATATTGTAATTCATTTACCTTGTAAACCGGGCCAAAACCACCCTGCCCTAGAAAGTTTGTTTCAGAGAAGTTATCAGTAGCTGCATTTATGGATGCCAAATCCATAATTGCGGATTCCCGATCATTAAGGCCATCTCTCTGAAAATCTTGATGCTGGAAATCATTGCGGTTTGGGTGATCAAACCCACGGAATTTATCATCTTGGCTAGTATTTTCTTTCTTATCTGTATGACAAGATTCGAGAAGTCAACAAGGGTTACAAAGAAAACCAAAAAGAACATGTTAGTGAATTTCATAAGAAGCATCCTTGCATTTTCGCATTCTGAATTTCATCGCAAGATGGCAGAAGAAGGAGCCTAAAATTGCTACCACCAAAAGTGTGGATGCCACAGTACTTATTGTAATTATCCATTTTTCGCTTTCGTTGCCTGTCATTAGGGAAAAGAAATTATTTTCAGTGCATGAAGTATAGTTTTTTATATTAGCAAATACAACCAAATATAACCACTTTTTACGTCTTAATTGATCTATAAGCAAATTAGTACCTTTTCCGGTCGCCGGACTTTGAGAAGATTCAGTTGCGCCGTCATAGAAAGCATATAACTCATACCTTAAATAGCAACTGCGGCTCAAAACCCTTGCTCCACGAGAAAAATGGCAACAAGTCGTAACATTTTTTATGGCAACCTCAAGGCATGTGTAACAATCATTTGGAGACAAGTCTGTAGAGCATTGTACTAGAGAGAAAAAGTTGTCACTATTAGTGAAAGGTTCGTCTCTAGTAGCATACATATTCGCTGAAGGACCAAAAGCTGCCTTCTTGATAAGACTACTCAAGGTTTTATTGACTACTAAACTAAGAAGTTCTGGATTTGAAATGTTCTTTGGATTTTGTTGGGGATTGTTTCCTGAAACATCCAAGTGGCTTAAGAATCTTTGATTCGAATAGCGCAATTGACATAGCTCTCCCCATACAACTGCTTCCTTATCTCCTGGACAAAGCTGCCTGATATCTTGAGATGCTGCAGCTACGCAGGTATGGCAGCTTTCATTTGTTACATAGTTGAGGCACATATATTGAGCATACACTCTGTCTGGATCAATTCCCGTGGAGGTATTGAAAATTTTTGAAACTGAAGCATTTGAAGAAAGAGAAGCCATGAGGATCTCGAGCTTGTTTTGAAATGGACTATTATCTGCATAGTTAGATTTGTTCGAGCAAAGTTTGTAAGGAGGATCAGCATAAGCAAGATCAAGATCAAGAAGGTTGGCAATGAAAATATAAAGCAAAAGAATTTGAAAACCTTTTTTAACAACAAGGAAATTGTGACCCATATCTTGTGTTTTGAGATTTCGACACTACTAGCTATCAAGAATCATCTATAATTTGGAGCTGAAATTGTTTTCTGTCTTCTTTCACCATACGGCCGGGAGGCCATGTATATATATAAAGCAGTCAAATATGGTGGGTCATCCAAAAGCATAGCACATGGGAATTTTCTTGGAAGAATTGGGATTAATCAAGGCAAGAAGAAAAATATTGTTATAGAACGAAGTCCCCCGTCAAATAATTATAAGAATATAAAGTAATATTACATGAGTCCCTCACCACTGAATTTTAATCTTTTGAATTAAATTCATATTTAATTATCAAATTCAATGTCATATCCTTGGAAAAAACTCAACACATTAGCAAAGATCTTATAGATCATCGATAAGATTGATTTTTTTTGGATGAAATCAAATTTCAACAAAAAAATTCAATAAATAGGAATCAAGTTTTTACCCTACAAGTAAAAATAAAATAAAAAGTAAAGGATGAGTCATGAAACTTTTACATCCTAGTTCATAACTTCATTTTTTTCCATTTTTTACAATATATGTGCATGCATGCATGTGGGTGTTGAAAAAGAAAAATGGACTTGCTGTGGTCCGTTCGTGGCGTGTAGCTTCCAGGAAGGTCTTACGTAATTTGTAAGATTTGTTAAGAACATGGCTGGACGTTAATGATTTGACCTGAACTCAAAGTTTTAACCAATGCTTCATGAATATTTAATGTTCGTCCTTGAACAACAATTCCAAGTTTGAACGAGACTTGTTTTGTGATTCATATTTCGTACTTGGAAAACGGTAAGAAACTGCATTTACGATCGGCCCCCTTTTTCTTCATTAATTTAAATTCAGCCACGAGGAACGTATTCGGTGATCTAGTATAAAGTATTTTTTAAATTAAAATGTATAATAATAATGATTTTTTAGATTTTTTTATTTTTTATATCAATACATCAAAATAATAAAAAAAATATTTTAAGAAACAAAAATTACTTAGAATGAAAAGCAAAAATTACATCGAATGTTTCCCTTGTCATCCACGGAAAAACCAAATTTTATGGGTAAAAAATTATACATTCAGTTCCCAATATTTGAAAAAGTAATATCACAAGTATATGAGAGGTACGTTGTGAAAGGCAACCGTAGCAGAAGTTTAAAAACAAAAAGTGCAGCAACAACTAGCACGTGTAAAACATTAAAAACATTAAAAGAATATAAATTTAATGTTTTTTTTAAGTTAAATGTACTTTTGAAGAGTATTCAAATATAGTTAATGGTTCGTAAAAATTAAATATTAAAAGTGGTATATGAAAGTACGGTAATAATTATTTTTTTAATTTTTTTATTTAAAAATATATTAAAATATTTTTTATTTTAAAAAAATTATTTTTAATATTATCACATTAAAATAATTAAAAAAAAATCATGAGATAGGGATTGCATCTCAAGCCAGAGAACCTCAAAGTGAACTTAGGCATTATAATGACTACGCTGTGCATCAATTATCAATCAGTGAAACATATATAAATCAGTTTATTTGGTCATCTATCAGTTTAGGATGATGAGGATTTTTAGGAGAAAAAAATATTTATTTTATTAATTATTTTTATTTCTATATAGTTTAGAGAAAGATTTTTAATGGGGATTTATATTTTTTTATTTAGTTTAGAAAATCAAATATTATCCTTAAGAAATTTATTTTTTCTGATTAGTTTAAAAATTCCTACAATAAATATATAATTATTTATTAGGATTTTTTTTTCTCTTCAGGATAGATTTTGGACTTATATAAATATTATTATTCTGATTATATTTTAGATTTTAGGAGACTATTTGAAGAGAAAATTATATCTGATAATCCTATTTGATAAAATTATATGTTACTTGTGATTGTTGTTGCTATTGTGTTGTTGGTTAATATTCACCCAAAAGCAGACAAAAAAAAAAATTAAATTGGTTTTATCAATGCAAGCTGATTCGTGGAAAGTTCAACTTCCACAATGTTTTATCGATATATGTTTCACAGGTAATTTCTATTATTTTTGTACATGGGATATACTCTTTTAGTCTAACGAAAGATTAAATTGTAAAATATCGTTTGAACTAGAAAACATGATATTAAAATATAGATAAAAATATAGAATTTTTCTATCCAAATATTTTATATATAGAAAAAAAGACTTCATCAACACATCTATGACAAGGGCACTTATTAAACTATCAACTAATTGTGTATTTAGTATTGTTGTGTAGAATATTTTATAAAAGTATTTTTAATTGAAAATACATTAAAATAATGTTATTTTTTATTTTATTTAATATCAACATGTCAAAATTATTGAAAAACACCTAAAAAAATATCAATTTGATATCTTTTCCGATGAAGAATAATTTTTAAAATATTTTAAAAACAAAAACTATAATAATATCAAATAAACTCTAATAGCATTCTCGAACCATTCAAAAATTGAAATAATAGAATAATGAGTAATATTTTTAGCTATTATAAATGAAATTAATATCATTTTTTATTTTTTTTCAATAATAGATTGAATTATTAAAATATAAACTCTTAATTATTCTTTGATAATGTTAATTTATGAATCTTTAGGTGAACTAGTGTGTCGAGAGAGCGAACTTTTTCTTTGGCAATTCAACAATAAAAAATTTAAAAACCTTTAAACTAAAAAATTCCTTGATTTTACCTCTTAAACAATATGATTTTTTTTTTCTTTCCACTAGGATTTTGTTGAGAAAATGAAGGAAGAAAATCTATAAAAACCCTCTCAATTCCTATCTTTTTCTCAACGTACATAGGAAAACATTAACAAAGCCAAATTCTTGTTTGGGAATGCGGTGCAAATCGTGTTTTTTTAAATTTTATTTTTTTATATATTTATATTATTTTGATGTGTTGATGTCAAAAATAATTTTAAAAAATAAAAAATATATTTTAATTTATTTCAAAGCCAAAAGCATTTTGAACCGTAATTGCTATCACAATCTCAAACACATCCTAAATCCCCTTGAAAAAATACTATTCACTATGAGCATGAACAATATGTACTTTGAGTGAAAACAATGTTCAATGAAATAATGCAATGAATTAGATATTGGGGGGTAATAAAATCATTTAATAATAACCTAATAATAACCATTAGTCATGACCAAATGCATTAAGGACAAATAAGTCATTTTGCATTTTTAATACATAATAAAATGACTAAAATACAATTTATAGGAAAAAATCTACAACTATCATTCAAGGGTTTTTTTTATATTTTCACACTGGTTTTTATGTTATTATTAAATTAGTTGAAAAGCAATTTGATTTTTACATAAATATAAAATATAATTCAAATTATTATTCACCTCCTCACAAAGTAGTGTTAATTGGAACAATAATTTTATTTTTTTTAATTTTTTTAATTTTTTTTTTCAATTTTATTATTTAATAATAGATTTATTAGAGAATTAAATTTCGTAATTTATTTTGGTTTACTTTCATTGAAGTTATCATAATTTCGTGATCTAGATCATGAGTTTTGTAGATTAACTTCTTTGAATAAGATTTTTTTAATAATTTTTTTAATTTTATCCTTCAATATTTGTTCTTTGAATAAGATTTTTTTAATTTTATCCTTCAATATTTTGATTGATTAAGAATTTGACTTCAATATATATATATATATATATATATATATATATTATGAAATTATAATAATCTCATAATTTAGATTGTGAAGTTTACATATTTACCTGAATTAATTTAAATTTATTCAATATATTTTTATTTTAAAATTTATAAAAAAAAGTTCAGAAATATTATTTTTACAATTTAGCTTTGATGAAATCGATATTTTAAAACAATAAAAATAAACCAAAACAAAAAACCACATGTGGTTAGTGTTAGAGACCAATATGACCATAACCAAAACTATATCAGTACCACCTTAAAATTAGTGGACAGTGTTAGAACCCTTATAATTCCAACTAGCTATTCAGACACATTGTTATTATACACAATTTGAGGTCTTCTATTCACCATTTTGAGATCTTAACAAAATGGCTAAGAAACTAGCTATTCTAAACCACACCTATTGCCGCAGACATTGACAAGAACAGTGGCAATCTTATTAACAATCAGCGCGGTGCGATACCAGAAACAGTCATTTGATTTACAGAAGGATCTGTTGGTGAAGACTTGTAGATTGGAACCATTTTACCTAGAGAGAAAGCAGGTCGTTTCGGCTGAGGAAGAGCTATTGGGTCACTTCCCAAAGCTAGAACCACAAATGACATTGTAGGCCTGTCTGCTGGATCTTCCTGCACACATAACAGCCCAACATGTATGCACCTCACAATCCCTTCTGTTTGACTACTGTCCATCAACGAAGGATCCACTAATTCCATTTCTCTCCCTTCATTCCACAATCTCCACGCCTGTCAAATTGCATGAAAAAAATATCATAACAGTACCTAGTTATAATTTTCAAGCTTCAAATTCTTTTTGATAGGTTGAAAATTATTTGAATGGAAATTTTGATGGCAGCGATGTATTGTACAAACATATGCTAAGAGTGTCTGGCCATGTTCTGAGAGATAAAAGCCACTACTTCTTTTTCCACTTGTGATCTCCAGTAGTATAACACCAAAGCTGAAGACATCTGATTTCACTGAGAAGAGCCCTCCCATTGCGTACTCCGGAGCCATATACCCGCTGTTTCGTGCGTAAGACGTACTTTTAATAAGTTACAAGAATTTAGGACTAAAATCATCACCAAACTAGAAAAAGAAATTAGAGTTAAAAAAAAAAATTAAAAGAGGGCTTACAATGTTCCTACTACTCTTCTAGTGTTAGCTTTGTTCTGGTTTTCGCAGAAAATTCTAGCCATGCCAAAGTCTGATATCTTGGCAACCATTTCATGGTCTAGTAGCACATTGCTAGGTTTTAAATCCCGGTGAATGATTCTAAGCCGGGAATCCTCGTGCAGGTAAAGAAGTCCTCTAGCAATCCCACCAGCTATGTTGTAACATGTATCCCAATCAAGAAGTGCGCGTCTTTCGGCATCTGAAATTTGAATATCTTGCATCGTTTAATTGTTGAAAATGTAATATTTAAGAATTCAAAGGCAAGCTAAATGGAAGGAACAGACCAAAGATAAAGATATCAAGGCTTTTGTTATGCATGAATTCATATATGAGCAGCTTTTCATCTCCTTCTATGCCACATCCCAATAGCCTCACAAGGTTTCGGTGCTGTAATTTTGCAATTACTTTGACTTCATTCTTGAACTCCTCTAAGCCTTGCCATGACTTCCTTGACAGCCTTTTAACAGCTATTTCTTTCCCATCTGGTAACACACCCTGAAACAAATTTGCGACGAGGCAAATTTTATCAACTGAAGCAATCTTAAGCCATGGCAAACTGAACAAAAAACTCGGTTTTCCTAGAGGGATGGATTGGAAAGACATACTCCTGAATGTCAGTGGATTATGACAGCACACCTTTACCACTTACCTTATAAACAGTGCCAAACCCACCTTGTCCAAGCTTATTTGAATCGGAGAAGTTGTCTGTAGCTGCTCTGATAGTAGTCAAGTCCATGAAAGGCAGGTCCTCAGAACTTACCAACTGACCTTCATCTGTCATTGTGACCCCTCTTGGACAGGCCAATTCCTGTAGTAATGCTAGGTGACTTCTTTCCACGCCTGACAAAGAATCGGAGTTTTACTCTTTTGTAGTTCTGATATCAATTTAGCCTAACAATCTGCTGATCGCTTAGTTAATTTACCTCTTTGTTGTCGTCTTTCTTTCAGCAGACATACAATGCAAGACCCAATGACAATTACAATCACCACTACAGGAGCACATGCAGCAAATGCCACTATCCCAATCTTCCAATTACTTCCTGCCATGCAAAGCAGAGAATTGCATAAGATTCAATTGATGTAGAAAAATATTTAATCTCCAAAAATAATAAACTAAGATTGTGGACAATTTTGCGCTACATGTTATCCGTCATGAGCAAGAATTAAGAATAACCATGTCAGTCATTAATGCAAGACATGATTACTTCTTTTCGCTCACAGATTGTCAGCAAAATTGAGTTGACATCACCTCTGCACAGTGCTTGGCCATAGACCTTGGCAGGGGGTTCTCCAACAGAGGTGTAGTTAAAACCTGTTAATGAAGTGATGGAAGGCAAGGTCTCAAGAAGATGCTTGAGGTTGCTCTCAAATGGACTGTTGAGAGTGTAGTTGCTTGTGTTATTGGAGCAAGATGTAACAAGATGGTCTGCAACAGTAATGGCTGGGAGAACTGAAAACGGTATGATCAGCAAAAACATGACTAAATTTACATCTATGGTTGTCATCAGGATCATTTTGGAGCAAATTTAACGAAAAAATACAGAGGGCCTTGGAAATTCACTTGAAACCATGTGGAGTAGTGGGACTATTAAAGCTGTACAGGTGATCATGGGGAGAGAATAACTGTAATCATCCCTGAAAATACGTTTTACTTTGTAAATTAAAAATGACCGGCCTGAGCATTGACTTAATTGGTTGACCAAGAATAAATTGGCATTCAAATGAAAGTTTTCTAGATATGATTTTTATATGAATCCTGCTGACTAGAGCTTATCCTTTTATTTGCTTAGTTCAAATACATGGGGCATAGCTTGTATTGCTATATTAAAAGTTCAAATACATAGACAATTTGCCGAGTATAATTGAGTGTGTACTTCTTTTCGTTTTGTTATGTTAAAATTAGAATCTCACCTATTAATTTTTAGTTGAGATAGTTTTTTTTTATAATGTATAAAAGATTTGTTGATGAATTAATTATGAATTTGAATTTTATTATTTATATTTTATTTTATAAAATTAAGTATGAAATAATAATTTAATTAGTTCATACAAATTTCAAGTTTATAAAACTCCAACCACTTTGAAAGTTTCTCTATCATTATCAATTAAATGGATAATTAATAAAATACATAATCCTTGTGTTTAACACGAAATGGGCAATAGATTTGCTAGATTTGTTACTGTATTTTATTAATCAGGGTGATAAAAAAAAAATGGTTGGATTAACGTTCTAGTCATTACAATATTATCTCTAGAGAGCACTATTATTAAGTTATCTTGCTTGACCATTCTATTTTGAAGAGATTATTCTTGAATTTGTAGGTTAGTGGTGCTGACTTTCTTAAAATACAGAAAGTCTGCGTGGTTGCATCGCGTTTTTTTATAAAATTTAATTTTTTAATATTTTTATATTGATTTACATGTTTAATGTAAAATATAAATTAAAAAATATTATTTTAATATATTTTAAAGTAAAAAATATTTTAAAATCAGTATTAAAATAACAAATATATCTTCTAGGAGATGATTGACTAAAGGGATAAAACTATTGGATGCAGTCAGTAATAATGATCCGTAGACTATTGAAGATTAAGGGAGTTTCTTAGCAAAGTTATTGTTCATTAGTTTGAAAAATTGAAGGTTAAAAATTATTGTTCAATAGTACGTAAAATTGAAGGTTAAAAGCCCTTGTGCGTTCCCTACAAGGACAATTTTTTTTATTTGATTACAAATTCTTTCTTTAACATTGACCCAATCCTTGATTTTGATTTCTCAATACACGTTGTAGGTTTTATAATATGATATATAGCATTTTTTAATTAAAAATTAATTACAATATTTTCTTTTAAATTTTTTATTATTATATCAGCACATCAAAATCAATAAAAACATATATATATATATAATTTAATATCTTTTCAAGCAAAAAATATTTTAAAAAACAAGTTTAATAAAAAAATATTTTTTAATATAATTATTTAATCTCACAATATTTTATTCAAATGCCTTCTTTTAAAATACCAAAATAAAGTGACTAGAACAGTACATGACCTTAGCAAGAGCTGCAAAATTAGAAGAATAGTAACCTCGCCCATATTTCATGGCTAAACTTTCCAGCAAGGGCTTAAGAGCCTTGAAAATGAAGTAATAGAGTCATGCCATTTAATCATATCAGATTTTAGCGGAGAATCACTTTGACATTGACTTCTAGCTGTAAAAATAAATAAATAAATTATATTTATGAATTATATTTAATGAAATGAAAATAATTTTTGTTTATTAAAAAATTTCAAATACAAAATAAATATTATCAAAAGTTTCACTTGTCAAACATAAATAAAAAAATCATAAAATCATAATTTAAAATATTTTATTTATAAGTTTTATCTACATCTCATTCCTCTTGAATCAACTCTGGTTTCAGCCAGTTGTTTGTTCACTTGTCACATTGTTATGTTGACTTTATATATATATTCGGCTGAAAATTTATATAGTCGTCTGAAAATTATTATGGAAATCACCGTGATCAAGACACCAAGGGTGACCTACTTGTAGCAAATTTCAATGAATCTGTCACTGTCCTCGTAGTTTCCAATGCCACGAGTACTTGGAAAAACCAAGTCGGGTTATTTGATGAATGAATCAAACTAGTTTTTTTTTGTTTTGTTTTGTTTTTTACTGGTTAGGTGTTAGGTTTAGGGGGGAAAAAGATACCGAGCTCGATAGAGAATTAATGTAAACACCAGGGCAAAGATGATAAGCTAAGTTTGACTTCTCTTGCACTACTATAAATAATTATATTTATTTGTATTCTAATTTTGAGTTTCTAAAAAAATATATAAAAACATAAACAATAATTTAATTTAAAATAATAATAATAATGTAACCCAGATTAATCAGGTATGTACTTTCATTCAAAATAACAAGTGAATAGATGAATTGGAGCTTTGTTGAAGAAATATTAGAAAATAATTTGAGAATTTGGTTAAAATAACAAAAGACTAATAAAGATGAAATTATAAAGTTCAAAGTTAATTTAGTAAAAAAAACAACATCGTTTCTAAATCAATTATTCATTCTTTTCTTTCTCATTAGGGAAGATCAGTTCAATAAAAAATCCATCAAAATTGGACCAAATATGATCCAAATTGTTACTACCTAATTTTTTATTTATATTTTTGATAAATTTTTTTAAAAAATCAAAAATAGTAAAAAAACAACGAAAACCCCTGAAAATTTATTTTGATATATTTGTATTATTTTTAGCATAATAAATTTTTAAAAAAATCAAAAATAGCAAAAAAACAACTAAAACCCCTGAAAATTCATTTTGATATATTTGTATTATTTTTAGCATTTTCAATGTCCTCTCAGAAAAATTTAAATTCTCAAAGATATTTTAAACACGTTCAACTTTTAACATGTTAATTTTATAATCACTGATTTTTTGAGTCGACGTTGATATTACTCGTTTTAAAAAATAAAAAAATTACAAAAAAAAAAAAGTTCGCTTTAAAAAATAAAAAATATTACAAAAAAAATAAAAATTGAGGGACCAGTTTGAAACCCTAGCAATATTTCTTATATAAATACCATGCTACAGTGAAATAGTGGAGAAAGAGAACAAATTGAGAGGCACAGAGGCGGAGAAAAAATTTACTCGGGGAGAAGAAAAATTGAAAGAAAAAAAAAGGGGAAAAAAAGAAACCTTAAAAAATATATCCTCTCTGCAACTGCTTCTCCTTCGAAAAAGCAAAAACCTAAATCCACCTTGAGGAGCTGCTGCTATAGGGTCTCTTTTGAAAAATAGAGAACCAGAGCTAACGAGAGCTTTGGGGATTTTTGCTCCCGCAACTATATCTTCCCTAGCTCACCACCATAAGCCCCGGACCCAGCATTTCCATCTCCTGGCCAAAAAGCCATCGTCCCCCCTTCTCCTTTGAGGCCAAGAACCAGAGAAACCAAAGAGCACCGGATAGGCCTCCCTCTCTCTCGGCCATAACCTCTATCCTTTTTCTCTGTAATCCTGCCCTTAGAGACCTACAAGACAGCCCTTTTCATCTCCCTGGAGATTAGCCTCCATAGAAGCCAGCCACCGCCTCCAGCGAGCTCGATCATTTCCCACAATCCATCATCGGCACAAATCGATCTCCATCGAAACCAACCCGAAGCGGCCACCCACACATAGGTGAATTCACAAATCGTACCCTTCCTTATCAATCAACCCTTCTTTATCGGTTCAACACCATGTAGCAAATCTGAACTACGAGCCAACGGCTGAATCTGCCACTAGCTCAGGGAAACAAACCGAGAGGAAGAAAGAAGACAGAGAATGGTCCGATCTAAAGGAAGGAAATTATTAAAACTCATTGTTGTTTGTGCTTTTTTTGTTGCAGGTAACATATTTCCTCACCGCCCTCAAGAAAAGAAAGAGGGGAGGAGGTTGTTACGGCCCCACTATTTCTTGGTTTGTTATCGCGGTGGCGCGTGGGTTGGCGATGGCACATGAAGGAGACGCGCTGCCACTGTTCCACAAATCACAGAAGATGCCTAGAATTCTTCAGCACTGTTCCCGAAGCTATTTTTGTAATTTTCAAATGTTGCTGTGTATATTTGGATACTGTTGTGTTTTGATTTATTTGATTTTTTTTGTTATATTGTAAACATGTAATTATAGGTGAGTAAGCATAATAAAAAGAGGTGTGTGTGTTTGTATTCTTATTTATGTTATTGAATTATAAAAATAAAAAAAATAAAAAGAATTAAATGTTTAATTTGAATATAGTTAAATATTTCAAGGATAAATAAAATCATGTTATATTTTTCTGAAAAATATAAGAACATGTTTTAGCATATATTTTGAAATTTAATAACTAATTTATTAAAGCTTTAGAATTTGATTAAAATTTTAAATAACATCAAACTGCAAATCAGCTTACCTCAAGTAGGGTGTGTCAGGGGTGTTAATATCTTTCCTAATCACAACTAGTCTTTTACCTTTAAATCTTTGATAAAAACCAGTATATTTGGGTTTCATAGTAACCTTTAATTAAATACTAGGTGGCGACTTTCAAAGAACTAAATCAAGCAAAAGAGCAAAAAATCGCCAACCGAAGCCGCGCGAGGGACGTGCTATAAAATGACGACTCCACTAGGGACAAGTATTATTTTCAACTTTATTGGTCTAAGTTTTGTATTTTTTATGTTTAAATTTTTTTACCTTTTATCTTGTTTTATTTTTGTTTTAATAATGCATTGTATAGAATTGTTTCATGCATCACATTTTAATTTATGAAAGCACATACAAACTTTAGGTTAGGTGGGGAACTAACAGCTTACCTTATGACTTTTAGTCAAGGTTTAAGTTTGTGTAAACCCCAACTCTTCATTGAGTGCTTAGACTATTAATGATTGGTATATGTGTCATTCCATTATCTGTTGAGCCCCTATATTGTCTTTACAAAAGTGATCATTGGGACAACAAGAGACCCTTTTTAAAGACCAAGTAATAAACTTACAATTTGTCTTACGTAAAAAGAGTAGAACCTGTCTTTAGGATATATGCTCTATAAATAGTTGTTTTGCATCTAAGCAAACCCTTCTTGAAGCATCTTGAATTCAGGACTTACGGGGGATATAATGGACATCACTTAAGAAATTTTTATTATAGAGTTTGATCAAGAATAAAAATTCGTGTTTCATCATGCAAGAGTTATGACCATATGTCACCCCTTGAAGAGCAAGTTCATCATATAGATTACATATCATATATTTATTGATACGACTAAAAGATTGATGTCTTCTTCCAAGTGCAGGAGTGTCGAAGTAATAAATAACCCGGCAAGACCGGAGTCGAACCATAGGGAGGTTAATTGTACAAATTATAAATAACAATTATAAACAACAACGGTAACAACAATAATATTAATAGCAATAATAATAATAATAATAATAATAATAATAATAATAATAAAATAGAAGAAGAAGAAGAAGATGAGAACTTTGAGATGGAATATTAATGTAACGATTAAACAATGATAATAACAAATGTCAAGGTTAGAGGTTCCACTAATGGTATATCAAACAAGTATAGTATAAACTCTTATTATTGAATTGGAAACCACACACAAAGGAGGTTCCAATCAGATTATATATTGTTAACATGATTACATTAGTCATCTTATTCAATTAATGCTAATACTTGTAAATCTCGTCAAGCATTCATGATTATAACTTATGTTAACAATAAATCAAGTTCCTTTCATAGCTCAGGTGTCGGTTATACCATACATTATGGGCTATGAAAGTGCCAAGCATTTGTTGTACCAAGTGTTATATAACATAAATCAAGATTAGTCATTTAACAAGCAAAGTATTAAAGAGTGAACAAGATAACAAATATAAAACATGTTAGTATCAAACATTAAAGTTCATATTAAGTTTACATTATACTTATTCTTACACCATTAGTGTAACCTTTTCACCTTGACATAATTAACTTAGCTAGACATAATGAAAGAAAGCAAAATAGATAAACAAAATAAGAACATAAAAGTTAACTAAGTAAAGGAAAGGAAATGAAAGGCATAAACTTAATATTAATGAAAACAAAGCATAAAAAATACAAAGAGAGAAAGGAAGAGCATGATCTTGATCTGGAAACCAAGATGCCTAAATTCATGGCAAATGCCTCCTTTTATAGGCCAAAAATGGGAACTATTGATTTGATGACTAATTGATAAGTGGGTGGCCAACTTTTGACTTGGTGACAATCTTTATCTTCTCTTGTCTGCCCAAAACGTCATTGATAACGTCAAAATTGGAGCCAGTTGCAAACATGAAAGTTGTAGGCAATTGTCTCAGCTTTCTTGTGTAAAAACTTCAGCTCATTTGGACTTCTAGAACTCCAGATATGGCCAAAATACCGAACAGTGCTCGGGCTGGAAGACAGATTCGGGCTTCTTTGTTGTTGCTACAATTTGGACTTGATAATGGCCTTTTTAGATCTTGGGCTCCATATGAAAGTTGTAGGCCTATGTCTTACCTTTCCATCCATATAAATTGGACCTAAATCTGAGATATATAGCTCCAGATATGACCCAATTACCGAACAGTGTTCCGGTTTGGATTGCACCGACATCTCTTTTCTAAGTTTGGCCATCTCTTTATCCTTGCAATTTAAGTTCTTAAAGTCATCAGTCAATATTTTCATTTATGTGATAGGCCTGCATTTAAAATGAACATTTACCATAAATTAAAGGTATCTTATATTATTAGATATATTATTATAAAGCATGCTTTAGTTAAGGAGTTATTGATACCTCAAGTGCAAAATGATGATATAAAACCTTGATGAAAAATGCACTTTTAAGTACTAATCATTTATCGTGCATGTACTGGGATGAAAAAATAGGTTTCCCTATTCGAGGTTTACTACACTGGATTGAAAAAGATGGATAATAAAGAAAGGAGTCAGAGTGAGGCTCATTGTTAAAAGGAAGTTGAAAGCATCAAAGGTGAAGTAGATATGTTTAGATCTGTCTGAACAAGTGATGAGCATCAAATGGAAAGGGAATGTCTACACAATCTTCTGTGGGAACACTACCTGTCTACATTCCATTAAAGTTGTACCTTTCCTTTTTAGTCGTGAACAAGGACAACAATGCCTTCAGTCATCAACTATAAACAACCTTTGTTCTTGATCAGTTGCATTGTTAATTGTCCATCGCCTTCACATCTTCAATTGGCACTGAATAATTGCTAGCCTTCTATGCATGATGCATTAGTCTTCTTTGAAGTTACCCCCACTGTGAGTTTAATTTCAGTTCAGTAGCACAAGATGCTGGTCTAAAAAATAAAAATGATTAGATGCTGAACTTCTACATGGCAGAGCTCTCTCTATAGAGATTTATTTATGGATCTGCCAGTTAGGAATGCAATAGAGAATATAGTAGTTTCATATGCTATAAAACTTTCCCCCATTAGTTTCAATATCGAAACACTATAGTAGGTAGAAGAGTCAGACCTGGTCTGAAAACATGAGTAGTCATTGAATTTTAATGTGACAAAACCCTCAGTGTAGCAATCTGTTTATGGCTTTGCAAGTGGGGAAGACAAGAAAGGATGCAGTAGTTTTAGATCATCTACAATTTTCTTCTAGCAGTGTCTGCTTTAAAACATAAAAGTAGGGAGAAGAGACAAACCTGGGCTGAAAAACAGGAAGAAGACTGAAACTTCAATAGAGCAGAACTCATTCTATAAGCGTCTATTTGTTGCACTATCTGTGAGCAATCAAAGATTAGACCGAAGAGTTTTAGATTCATCAAGTTCTCTTCCAGTTAAGACAAATGCATGATTCCACACGTCAGCAGTGGTGGTATTGCATGTTTTTATACCTTGTCAAGATTACCTAGTTAGTGGAAGGTTTCTAATAATCCATAAACAACCACAACAACACTGAAAGATTGACATGATGTTGTGAGGATTGTCAAAAGAATTGAAGAAGCTATGAAGAGAGGAAAGATTAAAGATTCTATCATAAATTCCAGAATAATGATGAGAAATGAATTTGAAGATTACTCTGAAGGTGGGAAACATTAATTATAAAGTCTTGCCAAGTCTTACTGTATCATCCACTATTTAAATGTCTTTGCTAAAGATAGACATTTCTTTGCCATGTGAGTTTATTTACCAGTATCTTTCAAATGCCAAACTTATTGCCTGACATCGACAAATCCTATATAACCACCATTTTCTAGGTGGTATAATCTAGACAAAAGATGTGATGCCATGGTGGGGTCCTCGGCCATTTCTAGAAATTAGTGAGCAAGAAACTAATGAAGTCTATGAAGGAGGGTGTCGTTGGTCATATTGTCACAGAACATCCTCAAAATGACAAGTGATCAAAATTGCTCGGTGAAACACAAATATTGCTAGAGTAACTGATCCAAGAAAAGTGTTAAACTGTCGAGCATCTTTGTTATAGATTTTGTCATTCTGCATTTTATTTTGGGATCACATCTTATCTTTTAATGAAACATGTCTTTTCTTTATCTCTTTGTCGTTTTAAAAGCATGAGATGTTTCTTTCAAAGGTTATTTTGACAAAATATTTTGATCAAGCTCCAACATGCGATTAAGATTAATCAATCCTGAAGATTAAAAGTATTTTGATTGCAGAAATGACTCAATGCTTGTTGAAATGAGATAAGGTGACCAAATAATTTGGAACTCATACCTTCTGAAACTGAATCATACATCATATAACTAAGTTTTAGCAGTATACATAATGACATGTAGTTGGATTCGGTAGTTATAAACTCGCTAATCATGATTCTTACAAGTCCAAATCATTATACTGGATAAGGTCAAGATTTATCAATTCTAATTGATCTTGCTTGAAATGAGAAAAGGTTATCTTTGTTATCCTTTCACATTTCTTGAAATATTATCCCCTGCAATCCCATTTTGAGCCTGATAAAATATTTTCTTTCAAAAAAAACCCATCACATCCTATACTATGGGTAAATAAGAGATATTTTGAAGACACTATAGAATTAATGGATAAAAGAAAGGCTTAGAACAAAAGTCCAATGATTGAGAAAGGGCTAGAAGAAGAAAAGCGATAGATTAAGGGTCATCCAAGAAAACTTTGAGGAAGGCTATGAAAAAGAAAAAAAAAAGGTGGAATGGAAGGAGAAGGTCTATCAATTCTAAGAGGGGCAAAAAAGGTTTCAATTGAAGAAAGATACAGCAAATGCCAAAAGCCAAAAAAAAAAAAAGCTTCATATCTTTTGCTGTGTCTAAGATAAAATCTCTAGTGTCTTAAAAACAAATTAGATTGGTTATTTATTAAAGAAAATTTTGGATTTGCATTATAATCTATGTTAAGAGAATTCTTATATTTGATATTAACAAGGTTATATGTCATTTTCTCTACAATGACAACAAGAGAAAGAGAGTTGATGAATAGTTGATGTTGATCAATAGTCTTTAAAACCCTCAAACACCTTTTGAGCTTGTGAAATTCCTTTCTTTCATAGCCATGAACAATAGCCTGCATTATGTGCTTTTAAAAACCCTTTTTTATCAAGTAAGAAATTTGAACTAATAAATGGCGGTCTCAAAACTTGAAAAGCTAAATTTGAACTGATAAATGGCGGTCTCAAAACTTGAAAAGCTTTTCTATAAGAGTCATAGCTTTATGGATTAAGCTATTTGTTATTATGCATGCTGATAAAATTGATGTTAAAAAAAGGGAAAAAAATCTTTCTTGATGAATCCTCAAGTTTTGACTTGAGCCTTTTGTTTTCCTTAAAATTCACAGAAGGTCACCCCATTGCAGACCATTAAAAGATATACCCAAGATCAAATATTAAAACTAACACAAACAACCATGAAAAAAATCATTTTGATCTTACAATGGGTCATTTCTATTTTCAAAATACAAGATAGTTAAAGAACTACAATAAATAATGTGTTGGGTCTTTGATCAAAGAAGCTTGAATTTAAAAAAAAAATACTTTAAAAAATAGACATCTCTCTTATTTCATTTCAACAATTAGACTTGAATAGACATAATCTTTGAAATATGAGATTTGATTCCGAACAAGAAAGATTGTCAAACAAAAAGAACATCGATCGAGTTTGCAAAACCTTGACAAGAATGATGTCAACACTTCTCAACACTCCTTGAAAAGTTGACCATCTGGGAGCAATACAGTGGACCCTTGGAAGGAATGAGCATTCAG